ATTTTTGGCTTTTCGAAAGCTACTACTCAAAGCAATATCGGATTACTTCAGAATTGCAACATCGGGGTTCATCCTGAGTAAATGACAGAATAGAAAGGATGCGAACCACGTTGTGTACGTTCGCCATGCACTCTGAATTTAATGCGAGTTTTCTCATAAAACTAAAAGCATGAACCAAACTACCATGCCAATCACGATTATTATGAAATGAAACACACCTTTTACATGCATATGTTAAAGAATATCATCGACGCCCAGTAAAAACACTCTGGGCTTATAATCGTGAATGCTCTCAACTCGAAAAATACCAAGTAAAAATATAGGGATGAGCTTCATACTCGGGAGGGGCTTACGATCGGGAAGTACGGTACTTTAACGTAATTGGGCTTTCTCTCTCAGAATACTGTGGTTCAAACGAATAAGGCTCTAAAAGTTATAAAAAGCACATTGTGCATATAAAAGTTGAGTTTATACTAGTAGTACACAATGCTTGGCAGCATGAACGGCTATGTACAATGGCGTATACGAATGCGATCAGATACTAAAACGTCATAGCTTTGAAAAGTACCCGGATGTGAAATATGTTCGTTAGTTATTTATTCCCCTCCATGAAAGGCCTCCATGGTGTTTAATTGCAAGCACTTCAAATGCCTATTCAAGCTACAGTTATAATTAAAAAAAAATTAAACCACTGCAATATTATTTCGAATACAGTTTAGAATATACACAACTATAAATTAAGGCCGCATTTAGGTTCGCTTTAAGTGCTATCCCGTAGCTATTGCTCGAATATGTATTGCAGTTTTAGATTTGTAGATTTTAGTGAAGCATAATTTGAGTGCCTTATAATATTGCCGCATTTAGAATGTTGTGTAACGTTTCCCGGTATTTTAACAATAGTATTAGTCAATATTTTGGAACATTGTATATCGACGACTTTCCAATAATAATAATATATCATTTCTATAAATCGAGCACTCTTAGGCTAGTACCTTCTGTGACGTCATAGTATGGTAAAATCTACCAATAACATAATCGTCATTTCTGAACAACTATAAATCAAAACGATATGGACGCCTCTGAACGACCTTCGTGCTATATATTTACGTCATGCAAACGCTTCGCTACTAGAGGCGCAATTAATAGCAAAGAAAAAAGTAGGAAAAAAAGAAGTCACTGATCAGAGCAAGTGGTGTATCGAACACGTGACTCTCACTTACATATGTAAATTAGTAAACTGTAACTCTTGTATTTCTGATTTTAAACAATTTGACTAAGTAAAAAGGCTTGAAATTTCGAAAGAGAATAAGAATCCAACATTAACACATAGCCGATCAGGGTTTAACCAGGATGGCACTGCAAATAAACGTCACGGGGTTATTCTGATTTTGTTATTACACTAATTAACAAAGCCGTTTTAGATCTGAGATTCTGCATTTATTTCCTTCTTCTTTATTTATAGCTGTGACTAACAATCTTTTTTGCCGATTTTTATTTTTAATAACACATTTTATGTTTTACTGGGGCTAGTTTGTATCGGCCATTGTCGAAATGTGGACACTGAATGCATATCATATACGTGATATACCGAAGTTGAACATTAAATCACTTGCAACTGAAAAAAAAAAAAGATGGCCGAGTGTTTCCATCCAGATCTCCAGCGGGCGCTTTTAATTGAAATCAGTCTTGTTAATGTCAATGCTGATTTTGATTGTCATTTCCCATAGTAGTGTGCGTCCTGTATCACATTTTTACGTTCCACCTCTCTCGGCCGTTTTCAACGAAATGGTAACTGTAGTTTTCAAATCTTAATTCATGAGACATCCCCCTTGTGTAAGTGTCTAAAATAATATATTTCGGTAAGCTTTTGTTTTTTTTTATGTGGTTATATCTAAACAAAAAGTTTTGATATAGGCTTCGTGTAACGTATCAACGCGTGTTTGTGCGTTTGTCTTCACAAAATTCGAACACACGCTGCAACGACCCCCCCCCCCATTAATGTGAGTATTGCACTTAATCAACGCGGACACGCATGGTATTATATGTACAACTATGGGTAAAAATAATATATATATATATATAATAATTTCATTGGCCAATGTCACACGCACCACTACATCAGCATACATAATGAGTCTGGAACTTACTACATAATAGTAGTTTATAAATAAATAAACGCTGCTCGGACTGATAAGTATGATATATTGAAGATAATATTTGGTAATCGTAGTCCTAAATAACTATTAAAAATAGCTAGACGTTTCGAGCAATGACTCTTTATCGATAGCATAGAAGCAAGTGTGATAACGTACAGGTAGAACATAGGAACGTAAGAACGCGCATGAACTATAAGTTAGAATCACAAACAAATCCACAGTAAAACAAATAACGCGCCTTAGGTAGTGAGCTCAACAAATGAGTTGAACTGTTTGTTAATACCATGGGGTTCTTTAGTTCCAAGGCGGAATATAGTTTCCTCCTCGACACGCCTGAGCTGATTTTCGTTGCCATTGACAACACATACACCAGAAATAGACATATCTGTAATATTATGTCCACTAGAATTAAAATGAAGTGAAA